TTGTGTGTGCACACAACCAAGGAATCTGATTTTTGGTCCATTTTTCTCCCAATGAAGACATTAAGTGGTCATCACGGATCTCTGTAAAGAACTTAAAATGAACAGATCATTAATTTCCAAAAAATAGGCTATGTCTCCAGGATGTTTTTTTTACTTTCACAAGTTAGATTTTATTTTTACTTCTAACTTAATAATAATTATCATATATAATGTGTCCTAACATTTGGCCTGTTTGTGGTCACTTAGCAGCTTTTGCTTTTTTTGCTTGCAGTAACAAAAGCTCCTTAATAGCTGCATTGCATATTTAACATAACTAAAGACCATGAATAAACCATTTATTTGCACATGTCACAGTTTTAATCTTCTTTAGCGTTTAACCTACACTGTACTGTCCAAGCTGCATTAATAGTTAAGTTCCTGTAGTGTTGGAGTATGGAAGACCATAGATGACATGTTCACATGAAGCTTCATGAACTGTGGGGATCATTGAAGCAATTTTACCAAACGGTTCAGTGCCTCATGAGGCTTCATCTCACCATCACTAAGCATCACTATCCATCTTTCACACAGTCACTGTAAACAGAAATATAGTTTAATCCAACCGGAGGCGACCTGGAGATCAAGACCACCCTGGTAAGGGAAATGGGGTATCTTCTTTCGAGCACAACAGTACATCTTTTGTACACTTGGGCAGAGGCGTAGCCAGAAAAAACAAATGGATGGCCAGGCGATAACCAATGTACACTGAGAGGTGGCCGAAAGTAGATAGGAACCAGAACCTCACTATCAATTTACACTGAAAATTAATGAGCAAACCATCCATATTTTCTAATAAAGACAAACTATACTTTCCCAAAGACTTAGCTAAGAAACATACAAATATTTTCAAACATCTGTGCTTTCTAAATAAAAGGTATAATGGATAAAAATCTTTCAGGTTTGAGTTTTGGGCAAACATCTTTTCCATTGTCATTACTTCCCTATTTTTATCAATAATCGTTCTGCATAAAATAGATATTTACGAGTACTAATATCAGCATAAATTTATAATTTAATAAGTTTTTATTAAAATAGTTATTTATCTATGATTTCACAGAAGACTCCAAGATGACTTGCAGAGACACATCATTTCTCTTCACCCCATAAAACAAAAAATCTATTTCTGCTTTAATTCCGTACTTATCATTTTTAATGTGTTTTTGTTGTTAAGTAATTGTTATTATATGAAAGTTTTAAATGTTTTGAATATTCCAATTGAGATTATTATGAGGGAAATAAATGGTAGGGGTAGCCAATGATTGGCTAAGGGTGACCATGGGCACCCTTAGACCCCCATCTAGCTCCGCCCCTGCACTGGGGGGAGCCAAAATGAACTGAAACGGAAGGTTCTTTAGTATTCCTTTGATTAGCATGATTAAATAATTGAGAGCCAAAATAGAATAACTTACATAGATTTATGTTTTTTTTGTTTGTTTGTTTGTTTTGTTTTTTTTTTTCTTTAATGAGCCGAGCCAAAGAAATGGATCTCAAATAGGAATCGGAATTTCCCACGGTTACATTTCGCTGCAGTCCCACATGCAGGGGGGAGGGGCCTGGCGCTGTCACCGCCCTCCTTCACCATATATGGTTCGTCTGGCGGTATGAGAGCGGCTACATCCACCCGGCAAAAAGTGGACACGAGACGTCAGTGTGCTCCCGAAATAAGAGGTACGAAGACATTAGGTAAAAAGAGATATATCAACGTTCAACAACTGGTACACGAACTCCTGACTTATCCCTATTATTCAAAGAAGAATTTCTGAGGATTTTGGAACTCGTTTTTACCGTTTAGCGATTAAATCACATCTAATTTGGGCCTCGAGTCGAGTTAGCATCCAGGCCTGTCAGGTGTAGCTAACTGTAAGCTTACCTCGTAGGATACCGCTTAAATCACTTTTGTTGTTTCTAAAAACTCTTCTCTTCATATGTTTGACATAGTTCGTGGTATACCATTTATCACTGAACGACAAGTTCCTTTAAATTTATTCGGGATAAACTGTAGCGCTAAAGTTAGCATTGTTAGCGGCTAACTTCCGAGCTAATCCGGGGTTAGAAATTCTAGTGAGGTGATGGGAAAGAACCAGAACGTGGTCTTCTTTGTCGCTGCCATTAGACTTGAAGACAATGTTGTTTAGTACTTATGTTACTGCGAAGTAGCCATCTGGAAATGTGTGTTTTTATGACGGTAGCTGAATGGCAACCCTATTTAGTATTCTTTATCCACCCTGATTCATACCTCTACCATATATGACTAATACTGCCTTGGCGACCTCAGCGCTGAAATCTTTGAACCGCAGATGGTCCGGATGTACCGTTAGTAATTTTTACTTTCCCATCTTTATTTTCCGAGTAGCCTTTCACAACCATGCCGTCAGACCTGGCCAAGAAGAAGGCAGCCAAGAAGAAGGAGGCTGCCAAAGCCCGTCAGCGCCCGAAGAAGTGTGACGAAGTAAATGGAGATGGTGAGCAGCCAGAGATTCAAGAAAACGGAGCAGACAGCAATGGTGAGAGGGATTATATGTCTTTATTGTTTGGACTAGGATTAGAGTGATCAGATCAAAATGTGGGATCAGATGCATATTTGTGTGGGAGATGACTATGTATGCCTAAAGGTATACAAAATTGCCACAGCTAAATATATTGAATAATGTATGGATGTTTATTTATTTTTTAAGAAATGCTCCATGACCTTTGGAAGGGTTTATAAATTTCCCTATTCAAGTCATACTATCCAAAAGTTTCAGTGCATTTTTTGATGTCCTTATTAACGTCCCTAAAAGAAAGATGAACGTAACCTGTTAGCTAATGTTTATACTGAAAGTAAGGCTATGTTCATGATGCAGCCTGAAGTGACCCAATTCAGATAATTTTTTTTGCCCATATGCGACCTGGATCTGATCTTTTCATGGGTGTCTGAACAATATGAATCAGATTTTTTTTTTCCCCCCAGGCCGCTTGGCTATGTGATCCTGAATCCGATACAAATATGATCTTTTCAAATACGACCTGTGTGTGAACGATCAGGTCGCAATTATCCGACCTGAACATTATTAGTAAATGACATAGGTCACTATTCTGTTTCTTGCTACACAGAAGCAGCAAGAAAAACAAACACCGTGGCGGATGATGATGCGGAGAGCAGTATTTTTTTTATTTATTTTTTTTACCATCTTGAAAAAATTGAGGTTTTAAGGTTCGGAAAGATCGCTAGATGCGCTCCAGCGCTACCATCCATATTTACTTCCGTAAACACGAAGCACACTGGCTTGTGATGTAATTGCGTCCTCTACTGCGCATGTGGGACACTTAAGCTGTATGAATGCAGTATACACAGGAGATCACATACACGTTGCTTTTATTTGGAAATGTGAACGGCAACGCAAAAAAAAATCCGATTTCACAAAAAAAATCGGAATCGAGCGTGAAGGCCTGCAGTGTGAACGTAGCCTTATACATGCAGGTGGAGCTTCATCCAAAGAGCTGGTTGGCAAAATGAGCCAGCCTACTAATGACAAAAATGAAAAGACTAAATGTAAAAGAAAAATATTCACTTTATTCAGTTTAAATTAGCTTTGTGACACAAACTATTGAATGTTAATAATTCTATTTACTAAAAATCATTGGTTTAAGTTGAAATAATTTCCACAGCTTCAAGATTTTGTTCTGCTTAGTGGATACATTAAAAGAGAACCAGCTGGCCCAGAATATTTCGTATGGAAAAACAATTATCATCCTACCTGGTTTGCTTCTTTAGATGGGTTTTCTATTAAATGGTATTTCAGTTATTCAGAGCTTTATTTGGTAGTATGGTAAAATAGCAGGAAAATGACCTCCAGTTGAAAAAAGCAGGCATGGTTTGATGGATTGCCTTTGGCTGTTCAGACTGTCCTGTTGTTATTTAGAGAGATTGTTTATATAAACTACATTACCCTGATAGTTTGACATGAGGCTCAGCCTGCAATCCTGTCCAATGTAGCTGGCTACTAATTTGGCCTCTAAACACGTTTGCATTTTACTTCCTAAAATAATTCACAACCTCTCCATCCTTTAAAAGACCAATATCTCTTAGAGCATTTGCCAGTATCCTTGGTTTGGAATATACCAAACATGAAAGGCTTTTTGAAAACAAATTCATCTACAGAAATATGAGGCTAACACAATCTGCAATCATCCATAAAGTTGGACACTGGTTATCAACTTAAAACATCACTTCTAACTCCATTTACCCCTCCCTCCTTTAATAGGTGTTGCCAGCTTAACTAAAGAACTGGACGAGTTTGAGCTGCGGAAGACGGAGGCTCGGGCAGTGACTGGCGTTCTCGCCTCCCACCCCAACAGCACGGATGTCCACATCAGTAGCCTGTCGCTCACCTTTCACGGTCAGGAGCTGTTGGCTGATACTAGCTTAGAGCTGAACTCGGGCCGACGCTATGGTCTCATCGGCCTTAACGGCACAGGTAAAACCCTTGCTGCGTCTGTCCCCCTATTTGTATCTTGACTATTAACACAAATGCTTACTGATGGGAAGCATTTTTTCCCCCCAGTTTGCTAAAACATCTAAAAAAAATTCTGACTTTTTCTGATTTCTTCCCTATGCTAGGAAAGTCCATGCTACTGTCAGCCATTGGTCATCGTGAGATTCCCATTCCAGAGCACATAGATATTTACCACTTAACCCGAGAGATGGCTCCCAGCGAAAAGACGGCTCTGCAGTGTGTCATGGAAGTGGACGAGCAGAGGATAATGCTGGAGAAGGAGGCAGAGAGATTGGCGCATGAAGACTGTGAGTTTCCTAAGATATGGCAATGAGATGCAGATGAATAACTGTACTGAAGCATGCAGACACAGAATGTTTTTAGTAGGGGTGTAAATCACATCCATCATGGCGATTCGATTCAGTATCGATTTCCTGACCCAACGATTTGATTATTTTTCGATAATAATAATGAAGAATACACCACGATTCGATTAATCGTTTTTTTTTTTTTTTTTTACACTTTACAGGCTAAACAAAGTTTCAAGTTTGAAATAAATCAATGAAAGCTGTAATATCATTATGCATTTTCTTTTAGAAACAACAGCAAATAACAGAAGTAGAAAAGTTGCATCAAAAAATACTGCAAAAATCAGTGCAATGAGTGCAATTCAATACCTCTGTTCCAGACGTCCCCGCGCCCTTGAGAGATGCACAGCTGCACCTCTCCCAAATTGTAGCTGACCGCAGACAGGATGCCGGCTTGTTTTGTTTTTATGACCGAAATTGCAGAAAACAACTCGTGAAGTTTGACCCGCTAGAAGAGCGAGGTGCGCGAGAATGCTGGGACCCTTTTTCCAGCTGAATCTCCGCTCTTTTAGGCCCTCATGTCCCTCCGTCGTCGGACTAAACTCGCCCCCACTTCCTCGCTGCCTCGGCCGTATCTAGACACACAGCGTGTAGCACAGACCACGCTTCAACATTGAGCATAATTTAAAAATGTCTGTGTCAAGCTTACTGCAACACACTGCTGCAGGAGTATAACCAGGAAGCGAGGTAGGAGGGCAAAATAGGTTTAGCGCCACCGCAACACATGAGGGAGAATTACCTCCTGGAGCAAATGGATAAAAATAGACCGGAGAAAAAAAAAACATGAATCGATTCTCTTGCGGACGTGTCGATGCATCAGATCGTCGGCTGTTGGATCGATGGATCGATACAAAACGATTATTATTTACACCCCTAGTTTTTAGGGCTTTTTTTTTTTTTTTTTTTACTGAATTGTGAATCTGTTATGACACTAATAATAGCGACTTTATTTTTGATCCAATGAAGCGGAGTGTGAGAAGCTGATGGAGCTCTATGAGCGTCTAGAGGAGTTGGATGCAGACAAAGCAGAGATGCGAGCTTCCCGGATCCTCCATGGTCTTGGTTTCAGCACCGCTATGCAGCAGAAGAAACTAAAAGACTTTAGTGGAGGGTGGAGGATGCGTGTTGCTCTGGCTAGGTAAAACTAGGGGAGATATTCATCTGGCAAATGGATAAATCAGAATAAGAGAATACCTCTGTTTTAGTTTCAGACCCTAACCAGCTGCTTCTCCATTCTGCAGAGCTCTGTTCATCAAGCCCTTCATGTTGTTGCTGGATGAGCCGACAAACCACCTGGACCTGGATGCCTGTGTGTGGCTGGAAGAGGAGCTAAAGTCGTAAGTTTATACCCAAAAACTTTTTATCCTGCGGTTTCCACTTCTGCTTGGGGTCCCACACTCACCACCTGATGGTTCTTGTCAGGTTCAAGAGAATCCTTGTGCTCATCTCTCACTCCCAAGACTTCCTGAATGGTGTGTGTACCAATATCATCCACTTGCATCAGAGGAAACTGAAGTACTACACGGTAAGAACACTTATGGATTAAAGTTGGGATGGTTCCCAGTGGGACTAGACCAGTTGGAACGGTTCCAGAGAATACCCTTAATGAACATGGTCCAAATGCTAAATAAGGAAGCAAGATGGGATGTTACTAATCATATCTCTATGCTGTTGGGTGACGATGCAAATCTATATTTATTCAGGGTAACTATGACCAGTATGTGAAGACCAGAGCAGAGCTGGAAGAGAACCAGATGAAGCGCTTCAACTGGGAGCAGGACCAGATAGCACACATGAAGGTAAAGGAGGGGCTTCGTTTAGGTGAAACTGTTTTACTGCACAGAGGTGCTGATCAGGAGGAAAAGCTTTGCTTTTCAATAGGATTGTCACAATACTAATATGTCAAATTCTAAGTCAAAAATTTAGAAATGATGGCATCAAATATATTTATATTAACTGGGGAAAAGTTTCTCTAAGCTCGACCTGGAACTTAAAATAAGAGTTCAAATGAATGTAAAATAATAAAACGACAAAAAGAAAAATTAACGACATCAAAAATATGCAAACTCCACCAAGCTAAACTAGTATTGTATCCGGATACAGCTTTGAGTATTGGTCCTTTTACTACCCTGCTTAAGAAAAAAATTCTAATTTTTTAATGTTTGAAGACTTACAATTGTACTGATTATCAGAATAAGATTTCATACAGATCATCAGAAGTTAAATGTTTGTTTATATAATGTATCAAGCTCCTTTTCAAAATCCCCCAGTTGTTAACAGCTATAGAATTGAAATCTGATGCGTGGTCGGCTCCTGCATTGTGTGAAATGGATTTTTCCCTTTAAATACTCTGTCCTGATTTTATAATGTTTAAACATTTAAGTTAAGTGGATAGCAGATGGATGCTGTGACCAGTCTGCCAGGAAATTGATTCTTTCAGTGAACTAAAATTTTTTAAATCCCACAAATTTTGATTAATTCTTGAACATCTTCATGAACTTTAAATCACCTGTCATTATACAAGAGGAACTATTTTGGTTCTCGCTTTCATAGTCTAATAGGGTACCTGCTAATGCGAGAACTTCAAGCTAAATTGAACATGTTAATATGCATGTGGTATAGCTGATCAGCTGTCTGTTGCTTGGTAACCCTGCTGCCCGCATGCGGTTACCTGCAGCTTGCAGACTTGTTCTGCAGCACGTTCCAAAATTAGAAATAAAACCCCCAAGTGATCTGTCCAGTGAGAATCAGACCTTTGGGTTGGTTACAAGTTGGGGGGAATGCAGGGGGAAAAAAACAGATGATTACTGGTCATTAAAACAAAACATGCAAGTTTGAGTGAAGCACAAATGACAAAACATGGCTTAAACTAAAAACCAAATAATCCTGCCGGTAAAATGACTTGTCTATTGGAATAAACCTTTTTTTTTTAAAGACCTTTGTCCATTCCTCCCTAGAATTACATCGCCAGGTTTGGTCACGGCTCTGCTAAGTTGGCACGACAAGCACAGAGCAAAGAGAAGACGCTGCAGAAGATGGTGGCATCAGGCTTGACTGAAAGAGTTGTGAATGACAAGGTACAGCACTGTGTGTCTGAACTGTGGAAATCCAAGGGAACAGAGCAGCTAATTGGACATTTATCAGGCTGTAGTTTTACATGAGATGAAGTTATGCTTTGTCAGAACAAATTTTAAAAATGTGCCAATATTTTGGATTTTATCTGATGATACAACCTATTCTGAGCTTTAGATTGAATCAATCTTTGTTTTCTCCAGACTCTGTCATTTTATTTTCCTCCCTGTGGGAAGATTCCTCCTCCTGTTATCATGGTTCAGAATGTGAGCTTCAAGTACAGTGAAAGCACAGTGAGTATAGTTGATCTGCATGGCTCGTTCTGCTTTACCACCACCCCACCCCCGAATGATAAACTTAATTTGCGATTATCCGCAGCCGCACATTTATAAAAACCTGGAGTTTGGTATCGACTTGGATACTCGGGTGGCTTTGGTGGGACCCAATGGAGCTGGGAAATCTACGTTGCTAAAGCTGCTTATGGGAGAGGTTGGTACTTTACTTGAATGCACCTCTGATCCTTCTAAGTGTTAAAGTTTGCATTCTTAGTTTTTTATTTCCTTTTTTTAGCTCCTCCCAACTGATGGCATGATCCGCAAACATTCTCATGTGAAGATCGGCAGATATCATCAGGTAAATCTCAGCACACAGTTTGTATAGATTAGTTTATTTACGGTTGACTAACGGGGTTCTGTTTGTTCTAACAGCACCTGACAGAGCAGCTAGAGCTTGACCTCTCTCCTTTAGAGTACATGATGAAGTGTTTCCCTGAGATCAAAGAAAAAGAGGAGATGAGAAAGATCATTGGTCGCTACGGCCTCACAGGAAAACAGCAGGTAGGTGTTTGTTGTTTAGACTAAATCTTAAAGTGCCCCAGGTGCATCTTTGAACGTTTCAGTGTTGCTTAAAGCCGCCTTTTAATTCCCTCCAGGTCAGTCCGATCAGGAACTTGTCAGATGGTCAGAAGTGCAGAGTGTGTTTTGCCTGGCTGGCTTGGCAGAACCCCCACATGCTGTTCCTGGATGAGCCCACCAATCACCTGGATATTGAGACGATTGATGCCTTGGCAGAAGCAATCAACGAGTTTGAAGGGGGCATGATGCTAGTTAGCCACGACTTCAGGCTAATTCAGCAGGTATAATCCCTACTAAACACCTTAAATTTATCATTTAAACAGGTGATATTTTAAACTATGGTTGAGTTTACATTTTATTTATTATTTAGGTGGCTCAAGAAATCTGGGTGTGTGAGAATCAAACCATCACAAAGTGGAAGAGCGACATCCTGGGATACAAGGAGCATTTGAAGTCTAAGATTGAAAAGCAGTGAATGCATGCTATTTGAAGCACCGGGCCGCTTGTTTCTTACATCATGGACCTGCAAGTTTGTCAAAGGATGAGCAGGAAACGTCCTACTGAACAGAAACATTCTATTATGCATCTTACTGGACTTCTCTTGTAAACTTAGTACCACATTTCCTCAGTTTAATGGCGATCCAACCCCCGCCCGATTGGCTGATTCACCTGGATTGCATTCCATTGTGTTGTCTTCAAAGAAGTCTTTGGGTTCCTCCTTAAATGTTCTGTTTTATCCAATCATGTTAAGAAGCAGGTTTTAGGTTATTTTATATTTAAAAGGTGACCTCCCCTCCCCCACTGTAAAAGAGCAGTTCTGCCTTATTTGACAGTGATGCAATAAAGGTTTGTCTCAATAAACAGAACATTAAAAAAAACACAACTCGATTTAAGTCTTTATTATTTATGCTTCTACAGGGTCTTTATCAAAGTCATAACCTTGGAGCATAAACTAATGCAACAATGGAAATTACAGCAAGTTTGTTTGGGTTCTGAGAATCAAATGACTGAACTTTCAACAACTTGACACTCAATTGTGGTATTTCTTAGCATTAAGGGACAGCCACTGGGATCATGCTTCAGCAGGAAGCTAGGGTTTTACCATTTTATCTCTATGGAGCATCTTAGTCTTTTAATTTAAGGGTATCCAGTCTATACTATGAAAATACCTCTAGCTAAACCATTCCTTCAGTCCAGTTAAGGTTTGTGTTCTGATGGGTGAGCCTCCACTCCATTGTCAAGTTACCATAGGCTCCATCATCCCACTAACGTTCCACATGGTTCTGCCAGCTTGTTTAATATGAGCATGTTGAGTATGAAAACTGAACACTACTTTTGCAAGGCACTGTATATTAAAGCCTACTGTGACAATTTACCTGCGGGGATGCAGAAGATTTGAAACTTAAACAATGTGCCTTTGCATCATTTGAAAACACCCTGCAGCCATTTTGAATAAAAAGTTCAGCTTTCCAAAAAACTGCATGCTGTTTGGTGCTTGACCTGCATTCCTGTTCAAGCTATCATGTTTAAGCCATTTGCACAAAAATAATCAACTATATACGAGAGTAAACTTCCTAAACTGATTAGGTATGAAGCAGAAGCTTTAATTTAAAGGGATAGCTCAGAATTTTGGAACTGAGGTTCTTCTTTTCCTATGTAGGAAATATTTTACCAAGCAGAAGATAACTATTTTGGTTTTAAGTAAGTTTTAATCCAGATTATTAGGTCTCAACCTGACAAAGCAGTCCCCTATAGATGGGTTTATGCAAATGTCATTTACTAAACCTTGAAATCACCCTCATGTTTGGATTGGAAGGTTGTTACACAAAAAGATAGGAAGCAGTGCATCACCGATTTGTTTTCTTCTACTAGAATGGAAGGAAGGTGGTTGTGCAAAATGAAAAGCATTTAAAAAAACAAAATCTATGTTTTAATCCGCTGTAGCTCCTCCATTTTTCGTTTCACATTCATTTCTCAACAGCCAACTGCAAAAGCTTGGTGAGTTCTGTTCTCGGAATAAGGGGTCCGCTGTATTTTCCCAGCCTCAACTTTGTAGCGTTCTCAGTGCTTTAGGTTTATATTAAAATATAAAACAATGAAGTTCAACCTAAGTCTTGAAACAGAAAAGAAAGGACATTTGTAAGCAAAAAGGGGGAAACGGGAAGCAAGGGAGAAAAGAATGGCCCTGGCAAAAAAACAAAAAGCAGTACATAAAGAAAGGAAGGACATGAGGAACAAGGATATAATGAAGCACAGAGGGACAAGAAAGAAAGAATCAGATATAGAATAAAGTTGGGAATCAAAATTAATTTTCTTTTCTTCACCACGACCCAAAAAAATATAATAGTAGTTTGTCGGACTTCTCTAGTCTGGCTGGAAACCCTGGTTCAAATTTCCCTCAGGAAAATCCCTGGTGGTGCGCTGCTGTTACCCCTGTATTAATTATCCAATCAATACATGATGTTGGTTTAAAGGCTCATATAAGAATGACCTCATGAACATCTGATGCTTTAGGAGTGGAGCTGTTTAAAGAGGCCGGAAATCTGCTTTGGTGTCACACTAGTCAACCTTTACCATGTTAATGTCCAGCAACTAGTAACTAGCAACTAATAACATAACTAATAGATGTTATGTACTAATGATCAATTTATCGTTCTGAATACAGTTATAAGGACCCAGTGTGGAGAAAATAGCCACAGGTTGCTAACCACATGGAGAGCGGTTAGCCTAACGAATCTGGAAGTTAATTACTGATTGAAACCTGAAATTCTCTGCAAAACTCTAAACCATTCTTCCTAGATTTTTAACTTGGTGTGTATGATTGTCAGAAGAGCGGCACTAGCTGGAGTTGAGACAGTGCAAGTCGGAGGAGTGTTTTACTTCATGCTGTTTCCAGTTGGTCCTGGTGGCAGCATGTTTCAGAGGCTCTGGTCTGTCTGAATTCATTTTGTCCAAATAAAAATGTGTCTCAGTCCTCATCAGAGACCTCATCCAGTGGAATAGTGCGGATGTTAGAGGCCCGGATGCTGCCGATGTTGGTCAAGGAGAGGAGGTTGGCAATGCCCGTGAGACTGACGCCGGTCCCATCCAGGTTGACCTGAGCCAGACGCATGTCTTTCAGGTGCTTCAGACCTGCAGGGGTAGGAAGACACTGTGGTTTAGATCTCAGCAAACGCAGATCATGTCTTTTTTTTTTTGTCAAATCAGCTAAATGTGCAGCTGTACCTTGGTCCGTGATGCGTGTGCGGCTGAGATTGATTTTAACCAGTTGATGACAGTGGATCAGACCCCTCCTTACTACAGAATCTCCCACCTGTGTGCTGGCCAACCCCAAAACCTGAAAAACAGGAAACGACCATTGAAATAAGTCAGAGAATGCAACTTTTATCTAAAGGACTTTTCAGTAGAGAGCAAAGGTAATTTCAGACTGAAATTTAATCTCAAACTTTGAAGAATTCACTTAAAAAAAGGTAGAAGGGCAATAAGCTTAAAAATGCTAATTTGTTGAAGTTTTTTTAGCAGATAAAAACTTAATAAAAGGAGTCAAACAGAACTGCGACAGAAATAGTTTAGTTTTACCCCCCGTGTTTTTGCTTTTTTTTTTCTTCTTTTTTTTTTAAGTTATTTTAGAAAAATAAGAAAAGGGAAACAAATATATATATAAACAAACGGTAGCAATGTCTGTTTAACACACAAAATGCCTTGAAAGTGCAACTTTTGAAAGATGTGGGTGGACACTTCAGAGCAGCCTAGAGGAGGAAAATAATACGTAACTATCTGACCCAACCAGAGGTGCCTAATCAGAGGTGCTGTGTTTTTTTAAAGGGCAATGAACTGTCTTCAAATGAATAAAATGGATGCTGACTGTCCTCAAGATGTTCTAAATATCTTCTATGCTCCCTTTTAGTACCTCTAATTCCTCACACTCCTGCCAGCCCCCTGAATCAGCTACAAAAGAAGCAGAGAATGAACCCTTGAAAAAGAAATTAGCCAGAAAACTGCTGTCATGTTCTAAAAGAGTGTTCTAAGGAGCTAATAAGAGTCCTGACACACATTCTTATCATATATATTTTCTAGTTCATCTATATTCTTGCATATTTGAATTGCTAATTTTATGATATTGCCCCTCATAGACGCATTCTGAATATGTTTATTGACACGACCTAAAACTTTGAGTAATTTTATCCGGATTTATCGTGAGATCCAACGCAAAATTGTGCATCATTAGGAAATGATGTATTCAGCCTCTTTTACTCTGACAACCCGAATAAAACCCACTCCACTCAATCAAAAAAAAAAGGGGAATGTTGAAAAAAAAAAAATGTAAATCATGTCACAGTCTCTGCATCAAACTGACCATATCAATGCAATGGTGCACTTTAAGAAATGGAAATGTCATGACAGCTGTAAAAAACGAAATTTCATTTTGTATGCACTCTGTGTATAAAAAATGTCAAAATTTGTCTAAGTCTATAGACTCAGAATTAGACCTAAAAATAAATGAACCAAGTCTACACCTGTGTGGTCACGGTAAATTGAAGAGCTGCAGAGAGACACGCAGCTCAGGTAGGAGAATCTGTTGAGAAAAACCTGATTCTGAAAGCGTGATGAGAAGAAACGTATGATTGAAAAAAAGCCTTATGAAGCCCAGTCAGCAGTTTGTCCAGACTCGTATACTAAAGGTAAATCTCCACCTGAAAAACCCTTAATGTTGACCTACTGAAAACACGGCAATGGCAGTATCATGCTCTTAGGAGAATTTACTTCAGCAGATAAGCTAGTTAAAGTTAATAGGAAATGGAAAGTAAAGTCCTTCCAGCAGGATGACGACCAGAGCTAGAATGGGAAGTTTATTGAAGCATAGCGGCGTTAAATGACCCAGGCAGATGCTCTACGTCTTGTTGTTTTGCAACACACAAAATCCTGATTAAATATTTAAAAGTTTATGGCTGTAATATAATAAAAATATTTTGTTTTCCTAACATATCCCACCATCTGTTTATGCTCATCTGATTTCTGTATCCGTTCCTCTTTGGTCAGATTTTATCTGAAGCAACATTAGAGCCTGAGCGGCAAAACAACAACCTGCGGCTACTCAGATGTTAGCAGTTGGGTTACCTGAAGCTGAGGCAGGCAGGTAATGAGCTCAGCCACTCCGCGGCTGGTCACCGCTGTTCGGTCCAAACACAGCTCCTGCAGCTCCAGCAGGCCACGCAGGGAGGGAAGCCCTGCGTCTGTCACCTGAGTGTTGCTCAGAGAAAGCTTCCTCAACCTGCAGAAAAACGTTCACGCCGTTCCAGTCAGAATGCACATTTCGTCTAGCAGCGGATGCCGACATGCATGAGGTGAGAGGGTGACCTGGTCATGGAGGCTAACTGGCTGACTCCTTGGTCTGTGACCTTTGTGTAGTCCTTCAGGTCCAGCTGTGACAGCAGAGTCAGCCTACACAGGAATAGCAGCCCCTCGTCTGTCACGGTGTGCCGTCCAGGGAGGGTGAGGTGAGTCAACTTCAGACCTGGAAGAAAAAGTGGAAATAAGTCATTTCTATGTTTGTTTCTCTCATTTCACTTGTTGCCACGTAACATCTTACAAATCTAGCAAACCTGAAATAATTTTCAGAGCGTGATTCCCATCTTTTACAGCGATTCCTCCTAAACCCAGAGAAGACAGGGCGGGGTGGGTGGAGATGCTCTCCAGAGATGCCTCAGTCACACCCGTCCCATCAACATTCAACGTCTGCAAACTGGACAGCTCTGCTAGGGCGGAAATATCTTTCACCTGAAAACACCCCACAGAAGATGAAGGGAAAAAAACACGTGGAATCGACGCTTAGGATAAACACTGTTAGGCGGAAGGAAATAAGCTGAAGTGCCTTCGACTGCTTGATGCTGAGTAGTCGCAGCTGTGGCACACAGGTGGGGAGCACAGCTAGAGTGGCTTCAGTCACTGCTGTCTGGTTCAGACTGAGCTGAGAGAGACAAGAAGGAGCAGAACGCAGGTACTGAACCATCCCAGCATCGGTCACTTTGGTCTGATCCAGGGACAGGAGACACAGGCTCTTCAAACCTTCAGGACGAGAAATCACAGGTGAACCGAGGCATCATATGCTATAATAATGCATAACTATTATTAATGTGCCTTGCAAAAGTGTGCATATACGATTGACTTTTTCACACTTTATGTTACGTAGAACGTAACTGTGATCGACTCTGGTCTTATCTAATTTAGAGAGGTATTCTATAACTTTTTTTCCCAATAATTGCTTCTTTCCATTCTTCTATGACTAATAACTGTCCAGTCATGAGCTCTGAGCAGCTCATCCACCGTTATCTTAAGCCATTTTCACACTGAAAACCTGGGCTTTTCAAAACCAGGTTGACCGGCCAACAATCGGCTTTCGGCTCTTTTCCCCATTTGACCGAATAGCTGAGTTTGACCCCCTGCGTCTGATGACTGCATCACGCTGGGTGAGCGTTGCCGATGTCGCAGTGCCACGGAAATCTGTGAAGTAAATAATGGAGAGCAACATGGACGGGAGCCAGAGTGTACTCGAACGGTGCCTGATCTCCTCTTCTCCGCAGATCATCAGGAGAACACAAATCTCTATCTTGCCAGTGCTGTAACATGTTTTTAGAATACAAGCAGACTTGTATGGGCTTGTTTTCAACACGTGACTGGCGCAATGGTGTGACATACGTGCATTCAATGTCATCACATAATTTAGCAGGTGTTCCCACTGCATGCCGATCAGAGCCAATGCGATTTTAACGATAGTTGGCGAGTAGTTTGACCCGGTTAGACACGCGTCAGTGAGTTGTTCCCACTGCCACTAAAAGCCGACTGTTCCCGGGTTTAAACAGGTTTTTCGGCCAGTGGGAAAAGGTTATTAGCTTTTCTACCGCTGCTCAAATCAGAATCAGACTCTCATCTCGAAATGAAGCTCTCCTCAAGATTAGGTGGATGACCGCGTTTCACAGCTCAGTGAAATGTTCAAAGCTGAGGAAATGGTTATAATCTAAAATGTGCGATTTAGCCAAAATCTATCAAATGTTTGAGTCCTTTTCAGGACAGCTGGATTAATAATAACCGGACTAATTTGGTGACTTCTACAGGTGATTGGTTGCGCTGCGCTTTTGTTAAGTAAACGGGGCCAAAGGTTTCCTTTGCTTGAAAAGTTTTAAAAAATATGTAACACTTCTTTTCACTCCACAGCTCTTCATGATTTTGTGTTGCTCTCTAACATGTAACCAAAATTAAATACGCAGTTTATGGTTTTCATTGAACAAAATGTGAAAACGGACATGAAGGCTTTAGCAAGGCAATCCTAAACTGTAATAAGCCTCCATTCTAAGTGTGGGGCTCATTTTTCAATACCTGGAACATGAAACCCCACTAACCTGTGATATACTGCAGACAGGAGTCCGTCAGTTTGCTACAGGACGCCAGGTTAAGTGACTGGAGTTTTACCAGACTGGGCAGAACTGAAAGACCAGAATCTGAACAAAACCAGATCATAAGATTAGCAGAGAAGATCCGACTGGCTGAACGTTAAAGATAAACATTTCTGCAGCTTTTACCTGTGATGAGAGGGGAGTTGACCAGACTAAGATGCTTTAGTGCTGTGAACGCTCTTAATTGCCGCAGGAGCTCGTTGGTGGAGTAAGGGTAGCAGTTTAGGACTAATTTCTGTAACTGGCAGCCGAAGAACAGCTCCAGGGTGCGCGGACGAAGCAGCCTCTCTTTGGACATGTGGTTGAGCAGAAGCTCTGCGAGCTGTGGGGTCAGGCCAGCCAGACTACTGCTGTACTGCATACTGGGAGCTGCAGAAACAAGAAGCATTGTTTTTTTGTTTCTTTTTAGGTTAAAACCACACAAAGGGAGGCTTTTAGAGCATATTGCTCTGAAAACATCCCACCAGTCATGAGGTGGACAGTTGCACGGGTGGCCAAGGCACATAGGGATGGCACGTTTGGTGTCCTGAAGGGTCTTTTAGGCGGTGAAGGGTGTCCCTGAGGGGGGCTGTGGTCCTCTTGCTGTGCAGCTCTTTGAAGACGCTCCACTGCAGCCTGGCCTGCTGCTACCGGCGCCTCTGGACCAGCCCCCTCCTCGGGCTCAGCTAGATCCTCCTCCGGAGCGTCTCTAAAAACACACAAACACACCAGCGCTTCTTTATTAAGAACATTTTATAAAGCCTTCATTATCAAAATAAGTATAATAAATTAAAACCCTTTTGTGAACAAGTTTGTACAGTTTTGTACTAAAAAATAAAATGTAGCTTTTTGTTATCCTAATGAGACTAATAAAAATGACTGGCATCTTGAAACCAATAAGAAAAGCTATTAGTAAACATGAGATGGTATAAAACAGATTCAGAGTTTTAGATCATTGAGAGGAGAATGTAAAGGAATATAAACCTCTAACTTCTTGGATGCAAACCAAGTGCTCCGAGTTATTCACCAATCGTTTAATCTTTAGCTAGTGTAACGCTACACAAACTCTAAAACATGCTGTGTGGTGAAAGAACAGCCTCCATACAGCAGTAATAAACCAAAAACCTCCTTGTTTTATATATATCATTACATTTATAAATACATACACTGTATATTTTTAATTATTAATTTAAAATGGACAATAAAGCTGTTTTTTGCGCCGGTGAGTGTGTTTCTCTTCCAAAACAACAATGGCGCATCTGCAAGATATCACGGTAATGGAGATAGATCTAGGGTCGCTCGACATCGAAGAGGAACAGGTTCTGTTAATGGAGCAAACCTCCTCGATTAACCTTTGGTCGTAGTTGTCCATTGTAGTTGTTCCTCAGTTTTTAAAAATGGCGTACTCCAGCACCGAATCGGGAAGGACGACCGCACAGACAGCCGGAAAGGTATACCAAGGACCAATCACAGCTGCTCTTTGTCTGCGCAGTTCAGCTTGAGGTCTGCGCAGGTTTGCGAGCGTCCGATGCGTATTTTGGGATTTTTTTTGAGGCGCGCAACGACGGTTGCTGAACCTCTGCATGGGGGGCATGGTCGCGCACAGTGACAGATTTGACTTTTGCAGAGGCTATGCATTGGAAGCATAAATTGACCTTTAGAGGGAAGACATGACAGCAAAGAACATGATTAGAAACCATTGTAGGAAATGTAAAACACCCTTAGATAAAAAACATGTACTCAGAAATGTAGCATGTAGTTTGTACATAAAGTGCAGCTAATGGCGATTGGTTTAGCTGTAAGCATGGGTGCTTATGTATGAACGGGATTAAGCGTGACTGTCTCTGAGGAGGCGTATTTGTGCTTGCAGCTGAATGAAACATTACATAGTAAAGTGGAGCAGTTTCTGTTTTTTGAGGGGTTGCTGTGGTTAAGTTTAGAGCTAAGTGGTGGATTAGGTTTAGGGTAAGGGTTTGGATTAGTCCATAAAAAGGAGTGAAATGGAATGGAAGTCAACAGAAATCAGTGCAAGGTTCCAACTAGGATGTGTCTGTGTGTGTGTGTGTGTGTGTGTGTGTGGTTTCACTTGTGGATAATCTTTCAAGTCAGCTGTAATGCTGTGTAAGTTAAACGTAAACAGCTTTGTTGTTTCCTGTCGGGAGCCCACCTGAGTCGATTGCCTTGGTCCGGCCAATAGTGTGCAGGTTCAAACCCTACTCGGATCCTGTTCTCCGGGAAGAAAGGCAGCCTGGGCATTCCTGTGAAGGTGACACAGCTGTAAGCTTAAGCTTCACACTTGGTTCTGTACAAAATCTCTTTAAGCATGCAAACTGGCTGTGCAGAAAAAGATAAAGGACCTCTGATGAGCAAAATTACTGGCTGATTCTGAGTAAACTGCCTAAAACTCTGCCGAACCTTTACATTTAGGATACTATACCACAACCACATGAGCAGGGAATATGACTGGCCTCAGTTCAGAGTAGTACTGATACATGGGGGTATTCACTTCCTTTTGCTAATACTAGTGATGTTATGAGATGAGCCGAGGCTTCGAGGCGTGTATCAAGTAATGGAGGGGGTGTTTCCCAGAAGCGTGTCGAGGCGTGATTCATTTAAGGGAGGGGCCAAAATTGATCATGTTTGAAGACTCTCTACCATGATACCATGTGACTGCTTTAGGAAGTGGTTCAGACTGTGCAAGAACTTCGACAGGCATTTAAATAACCTCAGTATTCATTCAAGATGTGGTAGTTTGTAGGAGAGTTGCTGTCAGTTGGATAGAGTGAATAGATTCTACGAATAGATTGGATGGAAAAACAACCAATCTAGTAGGTTAAAACTTTTTTAGTTAGATCAAACAATTTAACGATCAAAATCTAAGCAAGCAAAGCCACTGCTAACAGTTGTAACATGACTGAGGTTGTTGATTCAAGACCCACTTTAGACTTCTAAAAGTTGCAATAAAGCTGAACTATTTTGGCTAATGTGGCTAATTTGTATTGGTTTGCTCTAGTATAATTATAGATTGGGTAAAACACTGCTAAATTAGATTGGTTGGTTTAGCCAAAAGATTGGTTGAAAACTTAAATTCCAATCAGATTAAAACCAAAAATTGTGGAAAAACTATAATGTTTGAATAAAAATGACTAACACCTTTCATTTTGCTCATCGTCACCCAATGTGCAAAAGCACTTTCACTGTCTGCTTGAGCTTATTTCACTAAAATGACAGAAAAACTGTGAATTTTCTCTTCTAAGACATTATACTTAAAAAAAAAAAATGTATTATACGCACCAATCATTAACAATTTAGAAGGAACTTAAATGGGGAAAACAAAAATACAAGGAAAACAATTGCAAAAAATCTGTTTACATTACTAACTGTAGTTCTGCACTCCACCAGTAGGTGGTGACATGTTCACATGAAGCTTCATGAACTGTGGGGATCATTGAAAATTTTTTTCTAAACTGTTCAATGCCTCATGAGGCTTCATCTCATCATCACTAGTTAATACTAAGCTTTTCCAAACCTGCTCTACAATCGTAGATTTTACAGAGAAGCTTCTACTGTAAAACAATAATGCTTTCAGGATCAAATGGAAAAGAGAAGAGTGTGAGGACAGAGATCAGGTGAAAAACTAAAGTAAAAAGTGCTGGTGAGTCATCTGCAGCGGCTGCAGACAGCAGGAACAGTACCGTTTGGAATGTTAGGTAGTTCTCCCCCTACTTCTGGTTGCTCATCAGCCTCCAAACCAGGATCCTCTGGGTTCCCAGCAACCAATCTTTGGCCCCGACCTGCCAAAGAGCAGGAATGAAACAGAAACACATATTTTGCTTTTTTTGTTGCAGCTTTGCAGTGCAGAGCGAAGAACTCACTAAGTCTTTTTATTGGAAGTATCTCTGTAGCAATCAATGTAACTCAATAAAATCCAAACCTTTACACCCTGTTCTTTCCTTTTAAAACTTGCCCTTGTTAATTTATTACATTGAGAAGAAGGAATGGCTCAAATGCATCTTTACAAGTTTTTAATGACATCAGGTCAAGGTTGAGTGCATGTAAAAATTTAAACACATCTTTATAAAACAACTAGTTTAATCTTGAAACGTACCCCAGAAATGAGAAGGTCCAAACCCTGGAGGAACTGCTCTAGGTACCCCTGCGTAATTCACAGCCTCCTCCCACAGATTGTTTGGTAGATGATGGACTAAAGCAGGATTTAGCATCTCTGCCTCCTCTGGAACTGGAACCTGCGGTTGAGGAAGAATGCATGGAGGCGACTCGTTTGGAGGTTCTGGCGGGGGAACCGCTGGACTGGGTTGGTCCTGAGGCGTTTCCGGAGGGGTGGTCTGAATACAGAGAGCAGCGTTTGGAGTGAGGCCCAGGGAACGCAGCGAACACGCAAGCTCTGCCTCGCCAAAGCGCTTTCTGGGGAAACCCTGAAGGAGGGTAAAGGAGGGCAGGGAGGGGTGGCGGCCGCTGATGTGCTCCACGACGCTGCGCAGCGAGGCGTCGGCCGAGAAGCGCTCACGCATCGACTCACCGGATGGCAGCCGGATCTGAACAAACACGGGAAATAAACCATCTTTAAAATCTGAAGTGAAAACTTCAGGTCACACGTATGGAAGTGAAGCTCTGTTGTCTCACCATCAGGATACAGTTGTTGTCAACATTCGTCTGAATCTTTCCTCCAAGTTTCTGCCCTTCGCCACAGCTCGTAGGAGATTGGTCCGCGGCAGAGCTGGTGTGGCTCTTCTGCTGCAATGTCTTCCGATCCTCAGCTATCCGTTTTAAAACCATCTCACGCTCCTGGCATCACAAAAACATTTTCTTAACAAGTTAGCAACAGAAGAACACGCACATGGCGGCCGTCCTCGGTCTGACCTGCTTCTTTTGCCTCTTCTCGGCTAAGACTTCCTGGGCAACACGTTGTCTTTCTTTCTCCTCAAAGTCACTCTTGTCTTGTTTGATCCGTGACTCAACAGGAGGAGGATCAGGAGGATGAGCGGCAGGGTTGGACAGCTTCAGGACAGACGAAGGACAAGCTGCTAAAGAAAGGGAAAACTTAATACATCCACAACCTAACCAATCCACTGTTATTACCGAGGACCTGCTGTACCTCTGTTATCACTAGGAGATGCAGGCGGAGCAGAGCCGCCGGCGCCGTCTCTGGGCGGGTTAAAAGCAGAAAGAGCAGTATCCGACGACTGGGAGGACTGCTTAACCAATGTGTGTCGTGGAAACTGACCCTGTAAGAGCCTGTTCATGCAGACATGTGTAAACCACTGGAGATAGATATTGAAAGCTTTACATCAGTTTTTTGTTTGTTCTTTTCTTACCATTCAGCAGCTTCTGTCACAGAAAGGTATCCTGCCTGGACAGCTGCCTGGATCTGCTGCTCTGTGAAACCCATCTCACTGAGGGTGAGGAAAAACTCCCCGATAGTCTGCAGCCCAGAATCAAAGACCAACAAAACAGAAGGATTAAGAGAAATAAAATAAAAACTGAAGAACTATGATTTTGGATTATTTTCCTTTTTGTTTACTGTATTCCATTAGACAGTTCTTTACCAACTTTAAAGTCATTTTTTAAAGTACCGTATTAATAAAATTCTGCAGTAAGAATTTAGGGCTGGTATTTCTACACTTATCAGACAAAGACTGCTAGATATTACATAAATCTGATCCAGCAATAACATTAATAATAGTGCCTAATAATCCGCCAAAGAAAAGTAGATAATAAGGAAATAAAAGCTGACCCATTAATTGTTTGATAGGATTAATGAATAAATTACATGCCTACAAGCACTCTTGGATAAGACTTGGACACCCTGCTATTAAGTAATCAAACAGATAGCACCCTAATGGTGACTGATATGTGAGGCTGTGCCTATGTTATAAATGCTAAGGGGACCATTAGGACTGTCACAATAAAAAATAAATAAATGAATGGCATGATAAAGCTAAATGTGATCAATAATTTACATTTGCATGCATGTTTGTTTCCCTCACTCTAAGGGTTTCCTTAGCATACTGAGTGTGGTATGAGAGCCAGAGGACTGAGGAGTAGCAAGCAAACCTGAACATGGCAGCTGCGGTGTGGAAACACTTTGGATTCAAAGAGGATGGCATTAGAATCGTTTATCTGAATAATCTTAGGGATGAGTAAAACTAAGAGAAGTCTGATGGTAGAAAGAGTGGGCTAACTTTCACAAGATGCTGTAGAGAATTCAGTATATTTTATTTAGATCAGTTTTTGGAGTGCAATACTTAATGTCTTAATGTATTATAATATGCGCTGACAGAAGAGATTCTTCCCTTGGATCAATTTAATATTTCACCTTTAAAGTTACTTTAACAGCTGTTCAGAAATTACAGTCAGCTCTAAGCTTAATCCATATTCAGATAGGATTACAGTTTGTATCTGATATATATATATATATATATATATATATATATATATATATATATATAAATATAATAGAGCTGCAACTAATGATTATTTTGCAAATTAATTAATCTGTTGATTATTTTTTTATTAATCAATTATTAATCGAATAGCAAAAACAAAATTAAACCAAGTGACAATAAAGCTTTTTTCCACTTGAGGAGTTCTGGGTAGAGTATTTTAACAGACAAAAAGATTTTTATTTTAAATGCAAAATATTTACACTTTTTTTTTTCCTTTTTACAATTTTGGTATAATTTCTGTGTTAAGTGGGTCGCTCTGCCAGCTAAAGGCACTTTTTAGAGTCTATACAACAGTCAACGATTAATCGATTACTAAATTAGTTGAGGATTATTTCAATAATCGATTAATGCGATTAATTGTTTCAGCACTAATATCATTTGTAATTAATTTGGGTCTCTATGCAAGAGAGGACAAATATCCCCACTGTGGGACAATTGACAGATATTAAAAATAAATAGAAAAATACTAGGAAAAGCTTTTCTGCCTCGAAATCTTAAACCTCCTGAAATATTTCAAACTGATTACAGGAAGCTGATGTTAAAGGGATGTTTTATTGCCCCACCTGTGATTTGTAACTGCAGATTTACCACTAAACTCTGCAGCTCTAAGTAAACTATAATTCATAAAGTTGAAACAGTTGACTAGCTTTGTCAGTATAACATCATAATAAGAGGCTAGACGTGATAAACAACTGGAAAAGAAGCTAAAGAAGGGTTGGAGTTTGGTGTTGTTGTTTGGAACAATGGAGGCTGTAAACAAACTGCGTTAGCTTAGCATCTAACAGATAAGCTAATCCAGCTAACATGCTAACGGTTCTTTACAGCTAACAGCTGACAGGTCAAAGGTAAACAGGCTGGGGCTTACCGGTGTTGTATTTGAGCTCATCCCGTTATTTTTAAGGTCACCACACAGATATTCTAGTCAAACTAAGAGTTTTGGTGAACTTTGCTGACTCCCTGCTTCTGTTTTGGTGAGCAATCTTCAGTGGCTGCTAGCTGCGCTGACCTCTCCTCCCCTCTGGCTTTCAGATTGACAGACGGAAAAAACAGCCTATCAACAGACGGGATTCCATCTGCAACAAATCTCATTCATTTCTCACTGACTGGCAGGTCTAAACCCCAACCACTGACGCCTCTGGACATTTATTTACCATTTATAATGAAAGTAAAAGCTTCACTTTTGTTCTGATGATGGTGGAAAGCACCCAAACAAGGGAATACTTGAGGATACAAGTCCACCTCAATCATCTAATAGCAGGACATTTTATTTGTTTTAATGTGTCGATTCAATGATTGAAACTAAAATAATAAAAATAATAATACATTTAACATTTCAAAAATGATTATCTCCAGGGGCAGAGCTGGATGGGGGGCCTGGCCACCCTTAGACAATCATTGGCCACCCCTGTGGCCAGGGCCGTAACCAGGATTCTTGAAATACTGAGGTCAAATATTGCGATAAATCTTACTTGACAAAAAAAACATCCTAATATGGTGACCTTTTAAAATATATTTTGGAAATGTGAATAAAGAGTTTAACACAAGCCCATCAAGGAGGTGAATATGAACATGTTTATTGTAACAATTCCAGAACTCACAAATTTAGAGTATGTGAGTGAATTAATTATTATGATTATTATTATGATTATTATTATCATCATTATACTATATTATTGTTGTTATCAATATTATTATCGTCACCATCATCACCATGCATGTGCATGGCCCACTAAATGAATCAAATGACTTGCGATAATATATCATTGTGGACTTTATTATTTTTTTAAACAAATGAGAATGCATGCTGATCTTTACACAGGTCAAAGAACAATCAGAACAGTTTTCATCATATATTTTGACATTTCTCTAAATTAAAAAAATAATAATAATAAAAAAAAGGGAAAATACGGATCAATGCTGGTTACGGGGCTGCCTGTGACCACCCCTACCATTTTTATCCCCTCTAATACAGATGGTGGCAGCAGTAATCCTCTCAAGTGGAATATTCAGAACATTTACATTTTTTGCGGTTCATTATATACATCAATATACTAACATCAAAGATGATAGATACAGAATTCGTGCTCTTTTTAGAACTAGATTTGGTGTTATATGGGGTAAAGAGAAAATGATGTGTCCCTGCAAGTCATCTAGGAGTCTTCAGTGAAATCTAAGATAAATAAAAATTGAAATAAAAACTTATCAAATAATCAATTTATGTAGATATTAGTGCTTGTAAATAATTATTTTCTGCAGAATGTTTATTGATACAAGTAGGTAAGTAATGACAATGGAAAAGATTCACGCCCCAGAACTCAAAACTAAAAGAGTTTTATCCACTGTACCTTTTATGTAGAAATTACGGATGTTTAAATATATGCGTCTATTTGTCAGCAAAGGCTGGTTATTGCCTGGCCACCCATATAAAAAATTTCTGGCTACGCCTCTGGTTATCTCTTCGTGAGGAAGACTGCTATCTCGACAGTTGTTCAGCAGATATCCCACAATCTATTAATGGAAAATAAAGTGGAAGGAAAAACATGTGGTGAAAAATTTTTACACAGGCAAATAAAATGACTGCAGCCTTGAGAAGATTGTGAAATAAAGTCCACTGCAGGACCTTTTAACTATTAGACCCCTTGTTTTACGCTATCACTAAATCAGAGACACCATGTGTGAATGGGAATAAAAAGACAAAAGGCCTCAAGTAGTCATCAGAGGGCCACGTTCCTTTAGGATGAAATAAAAGTTGAATCCTATTTTGAAATCATTTCCAGACTAAAGGAGGAGAGAAGAGGCAAAGAAACCAAATTTCTTAGGCCTGGTTTCCAATCAGTAGTAATTTGGGGAGCGGTGTCATATTCATGTTGGTTCACTCTTTTTACTGAGTAAAAAGTGACTGCAGCAGTCTATGCCTAAATACCTAACTATGCCGGCAAGTTTTATAGAGATGATTTAATCTTCCAGCAGGACTAAACCTTTCATCAATACAAGAAGTATCAAAATTGGGTTTTAATAGTATTGCTGCTTTTGCTTGGTCAGCTCACCTCCATTAAGACTATAGAGTATGATCAGGAAGAAGATGAAAATAGCCAGGCTGACAATTCCGTTGTAAAACTTCTATATTATTGATCTTTTTTATAACAGTTTTTTTTAATATGAGAAACAGAATTTTTTTCCTCTAAGCCATAACCAAAGGGGATCAGAATAAATGGTTAAAATAAACATTTATCAGATTCTACTAGATCTATACAGTGTATGAGTTTTACTTGGTGAGGTGAATATCTAGAGTAAATCAATTAACAATGATCTTGTAATTTATTTGACATGCAACGATGATTCAGAAGAGCTTTCTTCAAGTGAGTAACTTTTAAAGGAAAGAAAAAATAAATGCTATAAAAATGATTGCATTTAAAAGGTTATGATAAGAAATCACCAGCAGATGACAGTATGACAGCGTGACTTAGATTCCATTCAGTTCAATTAATTCTCGTAAGACTTTTATGCGACAGGATCAAACTATATTGATAGTTAGATAAAATTAACAGCCTATTACATGTTGTTAAAGGAAAGAAAAGAAAGAAAGAAAGAATTTAATTTAGCACTTATAACGGCTATTTTCATTTATTCTAAGCCTTTAATCTATCGTGCATTATTTATTTATATAACTAAACCTTCATATAGATCTAAAAGTTTTAGCTTCTAAACCTTCCATTTTTGATTGCTTCATCAAGCTTTAGAAATAACAAGCATTGCCAATCTTTATATTTTATTTGGTGAAATTGTCTACAGCATATTCAAAACAATATTTTTTTCATACATGCTCAGCAAATTAATCAATAAATCATTCTGCATTTTGATTTAATTCAAACTGAACTTATGGGTATGTTTAACAGCTCTCCAATATGTGAAACATTGTTATTAGACTTTTATAAATAATATTTGAATGATTTTCTTTGACTTGTAACATCACTGCATACATTTTCAGTATGTTTCACCCTTTTATTCATTAGAATAATGTTCTGTAATTACGGTATATGGTGCGTCCACTTCTATTATCTAATTTCAACAAATTACTGCTGTAAACTAAAACTGTGGTATCAACAGCTAATGATCGTAATAGCTGCCATTGGCTCATACCAAGAGAGACACACAGGTTATCACATAGACACTGTATTAAGAGAAATGGGAAAGAAAAACAAAGAGCTCATTAGTTTGATTGGTTCATAAATCCAACAGCAAAACAGGCACTGCATGAACCAGGCTGAGTAAGCCATCTGTTAAATATGTATAAAAATGCTTGTTTGCAGTATGATTAAGCAACTGCTGAGTTACAGGTTATATAACTGAGGCAGTGCTTTGATAAACTTCTTAAGGTTGATAACACTCTAGATATTACCTGCAATAGAGGCTTTTTGATGCAGCGCTTTGTTTCATCTCTACCTGATTTTTTTTTTTATTAGTTTCCTCCTGCTTTTTCATGAATATCAATTATATTGAAGGAAATAAATCCCATTATTGAGTCTACGTTCACGACTAATTGGGTAGGCGAAATATCAGCGAATTATTGGTCAAACCTGCGGTTTACTGGGAAACTTCCAGCTGAGCCTTTTTTATTGGATTGCTTTAAAGATAATAGAGGGTTGGGATTTCTGAGCACAATCCTTGGAACAAGTGTTAAAATTACTAATTAGGGGAGATTAGGAGCAGATGTGTTAGTGGTTGATAAACAGCTGCCTGCTGCGTAGTTAAGGTAAAATCTTTGGGTATTCCACCCACTGCAAGTAACTTTACTGAAAAAAGACCCATATCTAAAAACTAGAATGTACCAGACACTGGCAAACAGTTACGGTAAGTAACAGGAGCAAATTCTGCCTGAAATGACATGTGTGAATTAAAGCAAGTACAGCTCCCAAACTATAAATTGGAAATGCAATTGCTTCTATTTGTACTACAGGAAGGTATTGAGGAATATTTTTCAGGTGGAACCACAATTTTACATGTCACCTTGTCTGATTTATAGGTGATTAAACAAAGAAATAATTACATTTTATATGATATTTAGCCTTGCCAAATTGTTTTCCAAAATAAACACTGCAAAACAGGATGAAACCCCTTTGAAACTCTGGATGAACCCTCAAACTTTACAGATCCACATCTTGATTGTAACTCAAGCAAATTTGGACTGAATAAGTTGAAGCATGTTTGTTCTACAAACGTTTTAGTGAGCAGTGTGCTAGGCGGAAATGTGATTTTGGTGCAGTGGTGCCAAAAGTGGCTAAATTATGCACAAAATAAATGTTTTCCACTCATAAAAGGGAATCTTGCCAAACAAAT